TGCTGCCCGTTTGTTGATAGCCCAAAATTGGAAGAGCCCAATTCTACCTACAATGGAAGACTGGAGATTGAAAGTTTCATATCTTGCTGAAATGGCAAAGATTTCGGCTTATCTGAAGAATCATTCAAATGAACAATTTTTATCAATATGGAGAAGATGGATTGTTTATATTCAAAAGAAGCATAGAGTGGTAGAATATAACCTAGGTTTTTAGATTTTTTTCTATTTTGTTTATTCTTTCTATCTTTTTTATAGATTAAGATACTTTGTGGAGTTAGGGATATTAGTATTTGTTTACTTATATATGAATATTATCCTGGGATTAGGTTTGGGAAGTCCGGGGTGGGGTGGGGGGTTTTTACTTGTTATTGTGTTTATTATGCTTTTGATTGTTTTTTTTATGATGGAAAATAATAAAATTTCTTGGGAAAAAAAAAAAAGATGTCATAGGCCAATATGGCAAAACGGGTTGGCTCCAGGTTGGCAAAGTGAGACAAGTGATATACTCTCCCCCTATTTATTCAATCTATATGCTCAATATATACTATACTGGGGTATGGTAGATTGGAAAAGGATGAGTCAGGCTCTAAAACTGGAGAAAAAAACTTCAATAATCCGCATTATGCTGATAACAGTAGCCTGATTGCTGAAAATGCAAAAGATCCACAAACTCTAGTAATAAAAGTCAAGAAGCACAGTGAACAAAACTGGACTAAAATTAAGTATAAAGACAACCAAACTAATGACAACAGATACAACGAACAGCGTTAGGATGGACACTGAAGATATTGAAGTGGTAGATAGCTTCTGCCTTTTAGGATCAACAATTAACAGTAAACAGTTTCACTGAAATACTTGTACTGCAACATAACCTTCCTTTTAATAATCAGAGCTGTGACAGGCAAGTTTAGAGATTAACTGTTTTCAGTCCAAACTACAAGGAAGGCAGTCTGATAAATAGCACTTTCCCAATACTCGGGATGTCCCACAGAAAAAGATCAAGACTTGCTTTCTCTTGTTCCAGAGTACAAGACATGGAATTAAAAATACAGGAAGGTGGATCCTGATTATTAGGGCAAAATCCCTAGCAGTCCAGAGAGACTGTGGTTTGTTTCACTCAATGTGTACAAGCAGAGATTAGATATCCATCTGCCTGCGATGCTTTCACTTGAATTCTCAAACTGAGAAGTTTGGACTTGATGGTCTAACAGTCCCTTCCAACTCTGTGCCTCAATGACTCTAATCATCACTTGCTGTATTGAACTATAAATTGTTAATCTAATTTGGGGTGGCATCGTGATTAAAATGTTTGAGCTACAAATCAGAAAGTCTCCCATATGAATCATACTATAACTCTTTATAGCCTGAAGCTTCTGTCCCTCTCTTATCTCCAACAGGGTGATATTAAGACTAACTTGCAGATTTAAATACCGTAATGCGCCCTAACAGCTGAAAAGTTATCATGCTGTTGCCTTCTGTTAGAAGAGATTTAAGAATTAAAAAAACCTGGATCTTACCGGACATAATAAAAAATACAAGTTGGGTGGATTACTTCCTAACATTATGTCATCGAGAGAATTGCATTTGTCCATTCTTTGTTTACAGTTAGAAATTGTAGGAATTGCCAAAAAGCTGGGTTTATTTTCGTATCTGCTCCATGCAATAGTTTGCTTTTTTCAGAAGTAAACTGAATTTTCTTGCAAACTTTCTTGCAAAAAAGTTCATCTCTTGCAAATATATAGTGATTCAAACAAAATAGAACTGTGATCTACAGGTCCCCCAAATAGTACCGTATCATTTATTTTATTTTACTTTATTTTATTTAAAAAAAATTGTATGACTCATTCTCAATGACCCCAGGTGGCTTACAACAGACATGTCAAACACAAGGCCCGGGGGCCGGATGCGGCCCACGAAGTGGTTTCATGTGGCCCGCAAAGCCATCCTGGAAACAGTAAGGCAACGGCCCCCTCTGCCTTGGCCCTGGCCCAGGCCAGCCAGGAGCCAATGTACAATTTTGTGGTGGCCATCTATGCTGAAACGCATTCAGTCTTAGCTCCATAAGCCCCCACCCCTGCATGGCTTGAGAGGAACAGTGAGGCTCCTCTAGT